ATACGGTACTGCCACGCGAGTGTTTCCCTGACGTACGAAGTCCCCCCAACAATCAGATCAGTGACCAGCCGTTTAGGAGTTTCTAGCTCATTTCCCAGCGCCAGCTGCACTGACTCCCTGAAGCCAGCCAGCCGGTGGGTGTTCCCTTCCCTGCGACAAGACTGTTCAGCTTCTACAAGGACCCCAAAACCAGGTGTACGACGTGTGCCAGTCCCTCCGGTGCAGGGACTCCGCTTATCTGGCCACAAAGACAGCTCCGAGACACGCTGGCGGTGAAGGCCTCACTCCCCGCGCACAAGGCGACCTGACCCCTGCCAGGCGCCAAGGGAGGAACTCCTCTCAACTCACCGGGGAGTAACTGTCCTCACAGAGAACGGCCTGTTTTTAACATACGGACCCTGTGATCCTTGGAGCTAATTTTTTTTTTTGGAAACTTAAGGTCTTTCCATCAATGCCACAGAAACATAGGGTGCCCTGAAAAAAATGCAAAATGCACACACACATGTTGGATGATCATAGAGGCAGTGTTTATTAAAATACATTTCATTTTCAAAAATTGAGCTACCAGCTGTTAAAGTGTGTACACACTTTTTGGGACACTGTATATAAAAAGTTGAAATAATTGTCTCTAAGGTACAAATAACATATTTGGACCAAAGCTCCTGTGACTTTGAGTAATTTGGGATAAACGAACGCTTCTGATGACCAGGAGGCAGCCCGGACCCGCGTGCCCGCTGCTGGGTCTGGCCCGGCAGCGAGATGCCCGTCGGGATAGCTCCGTGGGTGAAAGACCCACAGAGCGCTTGACGGGCATTTCCTACAAAAACAAACCCTCCGCTCACTAAAACAGCACCCGGAGTGCAGCAAATCGCGGGCGAAGAGTCTGGTCTGAGGGCCCGGAGTGGCGGAGGTCACGCTCTGCGTCCTCTGGTCCGGGGGTCACTGAGGAGCAGGGCCACCACGGAGAAGGCGGCCAGCAGCAAGCCCTTGGCCACACACCGAGCGTAAGAAGGCCCCCTACGGAGGATGGAGCCTACACCCCTGGTGTCCTTTTGGTGAATGGGGAGAAGTTCAACCAACTGCGCCACACTGGCTGGGCAAGAGTCTTGTATTTTTATTTTTTAAATATATTTTTATTAATTAGAGAGAGGAAGGGAAAGGGGGAGAGAGAGAGACATTGAAGTGAGAGAAAAACATCCATCAGGGGACTGAGCCCGCCAGCCAGGCAGGTGCCTGACCGGGAATCGAGCCGGCAACCTCTCAGCGCTCAGGACGCCGCCCAGCCAACCGAGCCGCACTGACCAGGCCCATAACCATCATTTTTAAGTGGCAACGTGATCGGTACATTTTTCTTTTTAAACTTGTACACAGGACATAACGATACCCATTCCGGAAATCGGCTGTGCCCTACCTTGGTAATACCGGGTCCAGGGATACAGAAGCTGCGGCCAACACACATCATTTCTGTCACAGTCGTACTCTGTGAAATTGATCTGGAATCTAGAAAACATTTTAGAAGATTACAGTAGCTGCCACAAAGCATCCTTTCGGTGAGAAGTATCGAAAGTTAAAGAAATACATTTACTTTCAAAGATCTGTATTTTTCTTCCTAAAAAATACCAACCAGGTCAGTGACCTACCTGGTCAGGGGCCGGGGCAGCCGGGCAGGGACCTGAATGAACTGGACGGAGGCGCTGAGGGGGAAGAGGCCGACCTGCTCACACGTCAGCCCGCACTGGGGCCGCCAGGTCACCGAGGAGACCCTGTAGGAGAGATGGCACAGGCAGCACGCCGGCTCACTCCCAGTCACCTGAGGACTTCAGGCAACTGACAGCATAACCCAGGAGTCTCTCGAAGACCTTACCCCTGCCTCGCACGGGGCTCAGGGGCTGAGGTTCGACCTATGAACCAGAAGGTCCCTGTTTGATTCCAGGTCAGGGCACATGCCCGGGTTGCGGGCTCCATCCCCAGTGTGGGGCGTGCAGGAGGCAGCCGATCAATGATTCTCATCATTGATGTTTCTCTCTCCCTCCCTCTGCCCTCCTCTCTGAAATCAATAAAAACATATTTTTTAAAAAATTTACCCCGTTTGTATTGTGTGAGTTTTCAAATGTGCTCACCAGGAGAACACGTTACACAGCTGTTGCCATGACCAACACGGCCGACACATTTCCCTTTTCACACACGTGGCTGATAGCCGCGATTTGCAAGGAAACCCTCAGCTTCTAAGTCGGCCTGTCCCTGTGTCCCTGTGTCTGGGGCGCCCTCCGCGCTCCTGCCTCCGAACCGCACCCAGGCAGCCGCAGACCTCTTTTCTGCGCCCAGGATCTCCTGCTGGGCGATGCCTTCCACGGCGCCCGCGTCCCAGGTGAGGATGCGGATGCTCAGCTGCGCAGGGACCTCCGTGCAGGTGCCCTTCCCGCTGCCACCAGCCGGGTCTGCGCCTGGGTCAGGGGCGGCTGCATTGGGGAAGGAAAATGACAGTTTTTCTACGATCCCCGGATACCGTAAAAACGGGAAATACTAGACAGGAAGCACATGAATGAGGCTTCCATCTCTCGGGGGCTCTTATTTGTCATCCCATACGGTATCCCCCTTGTGTTCGAGATGTTTCCTTACACATTGTCAGTCACTGGAACTTTAGAGCCCCTGGCCCACATAATAACCGGAAATCATGATTTGGTTCCCACGGTGCTCACTGAAATCCACCCAGAGTTGCAGCAGAAATGCTGCATCGTTGCAGTAAAATGCCGGGAGCTGGCAGGTGAGAAATCCCAGCCCGCTGAGCTGCGTGACCTCGGAGGGACAGCGTGAGGGCAGCCCTGGCTGGTGTGGCTCAGTGGTCCTTTGGTGCGCGGGTTTCATTCCCGGTTAAGGGCTTGTACCTGGGTTGCAGGTTTGATCCCGGCCCAGGTCAGGGAGCGCGCGAGAGGCACCCAATCAATGTGTCTCGAAAGAGTCCTGTGCTCAGGAACCATCACCCCTCATTGCCTCCCACCGCCCGGCCTGGCCATCAGCCACCACTCATCTGCTTTCTGTCTCCAGGTCTGGACGCTGCTATGGATGGGGGATGGGCTCCCACAGGGGTGGGCACTGGTGCCTGGCTCCGTTCACTTAGAATATTTCCTATCACCTTTTCTTTTAAGTTAACAGAACTGCTTTTTTAAGTCACTAAGGCAGTTCTCAATTGCCCGTATTCCTGGGACCAAGAATAACAAGGCGAACTGAAATGAGCGCCCTCACAGCCACTCCCGCTGCCTTTACACGGGGCAACTTGACCTTCCTGTGGATTTCCTTTTTTAGACACAAAAAAGGCATCACGAGCAAGAGAAAAAGGAGTGTTAACCCCCAGCCAGTGTCAGCTGAGCCCCAGCAGAGGCAGACGACCTGCTGGGCGGGCTCTGCAGTCCCAGCAGCCACGCCCCTCACTTCCCCGGTGCAGCCTGCCTTACCCGTGATCTCCAGCCAGCCGTCACCAAGGTCCCGGTCGTCGGAGTTGCCTCTCGTTGCAACGTGAGTTGCTTGTATTAATGAATCAAGTATTTCCGCAGCCTTGTCCCTGCGAGAGAGCAAGACGTTTCCCAGTGCGTGGCCGGCAGCTGGTCGCACCCCGAAGTCCTGACTCTCGGGGTCTCCAGGCCACTAGGGCAGGGGAGGGTTTCCGTTCGCAGATGAAAATGCTTCGGAACCAAACAGAAGTGATGGCCGCACATCATGAATGTACTAACCGCCACTGACCTGTTCGCTTTAAATGACTGACTCCGTTGTGTGATTTCACTTCAGTAAAAGAGGAAGTGCCCGCATATCTGAAAGTGCCCTCCCCAGACGACACCAGGCAGTGGAAAGGCCTTTCTGTGCCACACACCAGGGTGTAGGCACCTTCACACGTCGACCCCTCCAACTGCACCTGGCGAGACCCTGGTTCTGGCTCTAGGAGCGCTGGGCTCCCGGGGCCCCACAAACGCCAGCGAGGAATTTGTGTAAATGTGGGTGCAATGGCGTTACTCCCGCGACAGAAGTCTACTTCCCTCACTGCACGTCTGAATCACCTAGCCTGTCGGAAGTGCGCGTGTGCTCATCGCTGGCGCTGGCTTTCCCACAGCTTTATTCAGGCCCTAACTTTGCACATCGCGTTGTCTGGGAGGCGCCGGCGACCTCGTGTGAAGCGGACCCCGCGGCACTCACCGGAGCCGAGTGCAGTTCTCCTCGATGCCCACCTGCAGGAGGCACCCCGAGAGCGCGTTTTCTCCGAATAACACGGGTCTGAGCGTTGCAGATGCGCACAGACCCCTCCCGGCTGTAAAAGAAAAAGGAGTCCCCCCTCTTACTGTCTGCGCTAAACAAAAGGACAAACCACGAGGAGCCACCACCCCTGTGGCTAAATACCGCAGCTGAACTTTAAAGCCACCAATTACTTGTTCGATTCAAAACGGGGCAGCAGGCCCAGCCCCGGCTTCCCGAGGAGCCGAGGAGCCGACGCCCAGATTACCTGGCTGCCAGAGGCTCAAGGCCGCCACAGGGTCCCTCCTCCCAGCGTGTGCGGCGCGCACGGGCCTGCCCAGCTGGTAACCTAGAGGCACAGCAAGCAGGAGGTCAGAGGTCAGGCCGCTGGGAGCACCGAGGGGAAGCACAGGAGTGCCTCTGAGACAGCGGGCCGGGCTGCGACCTTCACCTGTTCCGCGAAGATGCCTGTGACTTAGAGATAAATGCTAGAGACTCTGAAAAGTGACGGGCGGGCAAGTGCCCTGGTGGGATCACTCCACTGAGCAGGCCACTCACTGAGTCCTCGTGAGTGACGGGCCTGGGGCTCATCGGAGGGGCTGGGAAAGCAGGCGCAGCCGAGGAGCCCCCCATTCCCCAGCGGGTCAGCTCAACCCCACGGCTGGGCAGGGCCCGCTCCCAGCCATGCCAATTGAGCCAACCCACCTCTGGAGGCCCCGTCAGACACCTCCCGATTATGGCCACGGCCCCACATCCCCGTGACAGCTGTGCCAATCGCATGGTGGTCTATTTGTGCATAAACACAGAACGCTCCACAGGACAGGAGCTCACGGGCCCCCAGGTGAGGGGCCCGTCCTCTGCAGCTTATTCTCTTAAAAAGCTCATTTAAGTCCAGCCCACATGGCTCAGCGATTGAGCGTCGACCTATCAACCAGGAGGTCCCGGTTCGATTCCTGGTCAGGACACATGCCCGGGTTGTGGGCTCGATCCCCAGTGCAAGGCCTGCAGGGGGCAGCTGTTGTTGATGGTTCTCTATCATCAATGTTCCTATCCCTCTCCCTTCCTCTCTAAAAATCAATAAAAACACACCTATTAAAAAACACTTATTTCAGCAACATTTTACCTGTTTTATCTCTTTTTCAAAAGCCAGGAGCTAAAGAGAATGTCTAGCAATTTATAGCAGCTTGTTACTATCTACAACACTTTACACAAAAAAACAAACCACCACATTGCTACTGGGAGAAGAACACAGGGTCACCCACGAGAAAGAGAAAGGTCGGACCACAAGCTAAACCTGGACAGTTAGGCATCACCTCCCCGGCACTGACGCCACGGGCAGGAGCGTTGGCCGAAATGCTTGTGAGATGGGTGACTGCCATGTACTCTTACCTGGGTTTCCAGATCTTTCCTTCTCGTGGCCGCTGTTATAGCTTAAAAACTTGACAGTAAATCTCTGTGTCATGGTTCCTAGAAAGAAAACAAAACGGCAAAGAGATGGGCGCCGCCTCCCCAGGAAAAGAAGCGATCGCCCACAGTGGAGTTGCTTTACCAGGTGACTGCATTTTGACAGGCAAACGAAGTCGCCTTTTTTTAGGCAAATCACAAGTACAAATAACAAACAATCCGATTTTGTCTGATGTGTTATAATGATGAGAATCTTGAAGAGGAAAAAAACGCCACATGTAAACACAAAAGCCGCCCTGCTGCCCTGCACCCAGTCACCTTTCTGGAGGGCATGCACCGTGGCCCGGACAATCCTGACGTGCATTTCACTGATGGTACGATTATTCCATCGGAAGAGATAATGTCCCTCCACTGTCACGTTCCTGGGGGCTGATCCGGGACTTAAAAGTGTCTCTGCGAATGAAAGAACAGTGTTATCAGTGAGAGCACCGCACGCGACCTCCGCTCAACGTCTGCAGGGGGCCCACCAGGGCAGTGCCAGCCGCCTGCTCTGCCACCGCAGGGTCCTGCGTGAGGTCTGAACCTTCCTTTCATGCCTGCATCGCCGCGGCGAGGCTCACGGCTCGGAAGACGCGCTCCTTAGGCGTTTATCAAAGACGAGAGCAGTGAGGGCGAACCTTTTGAGCTCGGCGTGTCCGCATTTTGAAAAACCCTAACGTAACTCTGGTGCCGTGTCACACATAGAAATTTTTTGATATTTGCAACCACAGTAAAACAAAGACTTACATTTTCGATATTTATTTTATATATTTAAGTGTCATTTAACAAAGAAAAATCAACCAAAAAATGAGTTCACGTGTCACCTCTGACGCGTGTCATAGGTTCGCCATCACTGGACTAGAGAGTGTCAGCGCTCCAGCAGGCGGCTGCCTAGCCCACTGCCGTGTTGCAGCCACTCCACTAAGACTCGATGCCATAAGAAGTGAAAGCAAGAAGTGAAAACGGTCCTAAAGAATTCTCCAGCGCCCGGCGGTGGGGCTCAGTGGCTGAGCGTCAACCCAGGAACCCAGAGGTCATCGGTTCAATCCCCACTCAGGGCACAGGTCCGGGTTGCAGGCTCCATCCCCAGTAGGGGGCGCGCAGGAGGCAGCTGATCAATGATGCTTCTCTCTCGTCAATGTTTCTCTCTCTAAAAATCAATAAAACCATATTGGTTCCCAGACCTGGAGGACCAGGAGGGGCCCCGAGCCCACATCAGCCACAAGCAGGGTGGGGAGCTAGTTCAAGGTCACAGCTAAGTGTGAGGTAAGGGACGACGGACAGGGACAAACACAATCTGGGGGCAGAGGGCTTCCTCATTGTGACGCTCGTGACACTGCGTCAGAGTGTAGTTCTCTCGGGCTGCACGTCACTCCCGTCCGGATGCCCGTGGGAATGACGGCAGCGTGTGGCACCGAGTACCTGCGCCGGCGAGGACCTGGCCCAGGTCCGCCGCTTCCTCATAGACCACGTGTGGGATGACGATGCCTGAGGGACACACGAATTAACCTTCCGCGGGCGCCTTCCTCGCTGGCAGTTCAAACACTTCCAGCTGCTCCCGGCGCGGTGACTGCCGTTCTCATGGGCTGAGAGCTGACCTGGCCCCTCGGTCCGGGCTTTGTCCCGGCCGCACCGGCGCGTACCTCCCGCAGTGCCGTCCTTTATCCCGGCGTCCAGGACGCTGTCTGCTTCCCCGTAGGCGTCGAGGTCAGTAATGCAGCGAACGTCAAAATTCTGCAGGAATCCCACCGGGGCATCCCGCACACACTGCCCAGCCAGGGAGACCTGGGGGCGAGGGGAAACCAACAGACAGATCACCGGGTCTAATGAGAAAATACAGGGTGACGTCCCGGCCCGAAGAAGGTTCCTCCCGCGGCCGCGCCCCCTGCTGGTGTCCTCAGCTGACCCATCTACTCAAACCCCTAGTCAGTGTGGGAGCCGAGGGCTGGTCAGTGAGAACTGTTCCGGGGAAACCAAGAAGCCCCTCCCCTCCATCCCCTTGGCAGAAAGGAGATCACACTCAACGCCACTCCCCGCCCTCTTCACTCCAGGCTTCTGTTAAAACCAGTCAAGTGGACTCATGGGAACAGCAGACATGGCTCTAGGCGTCAGTGTTTTGTTACCACAAACATTTCTTCCTTAGAATTTTGAACTTAAAAAAAGGGGGGACTTCACATAAAACTCTATGGCCTTAGAACATGTTCCAGCATTCTGGAATATGTTCAATTACATACTGATCGCTCACTAGGACGAGGCTGTGGGGGGGACGGGAGCGGCTGGAAGAGGTAACTGGGGGAAAGGAGGACCTAGGTAATACTTTCCACAGAAAAGATTTTTAAAAATAAATAAAAAATAACAGTGGCTGTGAAACTAACAGAAGTGAAGAATGAGTTACGTCGACGGGAATTTACAGACTGTTTTTGGTTTTGTTGAGTTCACGCTGAGATTTAGCCAAGTAGCGGCTCATTTAAGAGTGACTATGAAAACACATCCAGACACCGTACGCAGCTGGGGGCCGGGAGGATCCATAGGGGAAGGTAAGTCGCTGAGGGGGTATTTCTAAGAGCAATCGGAGTTCAATTAAAAACAGGGAAACAGTGAGAAAAGGCTGCAGCACATTACACTGGAACTTAGTACCTGAGGCACAGTGAGATAGGCCTGAGCGGCAGTCATTACGGGGTCTCCCTGTTTGTACCCCGAGTCCGACATGTCCTTCGGCTCCGTGTGCAGATACGCGTCAAAGGCGGCGGCGTGCGGCCTGGAAGACCTGGGAGTCAACAAGGAAGATGCCACTAACACTTTCAGCTCCTGCCTGCCAGGCCCCCTGCTCACTGGCATTGTATTCTTTGCTCTTTTTTTACGTTAATCTCAGAGAGGAAGGGAGAGGGGGAGATAGAAACATCCATGATGAGAGAGAATCACTGACCAGCTGCCTCCCGCACGCCCCCGACTGGGGATCGAGCCCCAACCCAGGCCTGTGCCCTGACCGGGAATCGAACCCGTGACCTCCTGGTTCATAGGTCGACACTCAGCCACTGAGCCACACCAGCCGGGCTTCTTTACTTTTTTAATTACCAAAATGATATTTGTACTAAATGCCACTGAACTGTACACTTTAAAGTGGTTAATGGTTAATTGTATTCACTTCAACAATAACAATAATGTTGTAAAATGTCAACAATCCCGGAAGGCGAGGAAAGTTAAAGTCCCCGATGAGCCCCCCACCCCCGATCGTCACTACGAACGTGGTGCTGCATCCATCAATTTCTTTCCCAGGAGGCCCGACTCTTTCTGACACGGAATAAACTGACTAACTGGGGTCTGGAACGGAGTCGAGAACTGGATCATTTAAGCTCCTTGCCTTGGGAGAGATCGCGTGAAAAACGGGACCCACATTCCCATTCCAGGGCCCACATGGCGTGGCCCCCCCGACCCCCGGCCCCGAGAGCAGCGCCCTCCCCGGCAGCTAGGGGACACTCACACAGCCCCGTGGTGGAAGTAACCGAGGAAGGGCGAGTTGGCCAGCGAGGACTGCACACACAGGAAGGGAAACCAGCCGGGGGCCCCAGGCGGCCTCCGCGCAGAACAGAGCTGATCGAAAGGGGGACTAACGTCCCCCCCAAACACACCGGTGAGACAGGACTCTCTGAAGAGTGCGGTGACATTGGACGAGCATTCCTGGGAAGAAAACAGACAGGGGCAGGGAGCACCAGGAGGGCGCAGGTTTGATTCCCCGTCAGGGCACGTGCCTGGGTTGCAGGCTCACGGAGGCAGCCCATCAATGTTGACGTTTCTCATCCATGTTCCCCTCTCTCTCCCGCTCCCTTCCTCTCTCTGCAAAATCAGTAAAAACGTATTTTAAAGGAAGAAGAGCAGCAGAGCGTGCGCGCACCTGGTCGCAGCAGCAGCGGACGTCGCAGGCCCCGGCGGTTAGGTTGCAGGGACACGGGCCCAGAGGCTGGTGCACCGGGTCGGGGATGGCCGTCACGTTCTCTG